GTACAGTCTTTGGACTTCTAGAGAAGAAGCTTTGCAAAAAACTTTCTGTGCAAAGACAAAATGCGTGTTCCCATCCTCAGCGGCTTTAGATTTTTTACTGCCTAGAATATTTCTCTTTGTCCGCTTCGTACTGCCTCTACTGACCCAAACCCATGACGAACACGGAGGGCCACAGTGCAAAAGACCTCCAATTTGCAGTTGCAATGTGTAGGCCAATGCCCGGATGAAGCCGGTCCTTGGCAATGGTTCGAGCACAGTGCAACCGATCAAGTTTGTCAATGACAGGGATCCCTGCACTGACAAAATGTCATTGCTCTTCGGGTGCATCTCACGGTCGTAGCAAGCCCTCAGGCATACATGATTTGTCTCTTGCAGGACAAAGTGTGTTAAAATGAAAACGTACTAGGTGGACTTGTTCATGTTTGGTGAATTACACTGCAATTAATTGGTAGAATTTCCAGCACAGCTCTGAGCATGCGGCGCACTCATCCGTGCTTCACCTGGGTGGAATTCAGAGAACACAGAAATCACACAATTATAAGTTTGATGACTCTGATGGGATTTGGTCCCCAACGAAAAGCATCGTAGACTGCATGCTTTCCACAAAATAGATCCACCAGAGCCAGCGCCTCGTGTGAGTTGGCGCGCAGTGCTGAACTGAGGTACATGTGTTTGCTTGCTTTGAGTATCTGACTCTAGAGCGGCACTCGGGTCGATGGGTGTTTTGGGCGATCCAGTCAGCCAGGTGGATCCTGAGCAGTCAGCGCACGCATGAGTATAATACATGTGCGTTTGTTCGATTTCATGGTTCATGCATTTGCATGCAGTCTAGATTCACCACGTAGGGACACCCCATAGCAAGAAGGAAGCAGACTGCAGAGGTGGACAATGATAACGGGGAATCCCAGGAACGTTCCTGGACTAGAACGCTGCACTTCACACTTTCCATGGCTCCAAAAGTATGCTGGATGCTCGGGCCAGATCTCACCTATGTCCAAGGTCCAAGAGCTGTTGCCTGGTACACCAACAATTTATGCATGCATGTAGACTCACACCAAGCCAAGGACCTCCAAGATCCTGATCTCCGCTGTTCTGGCTGCGCTGTGCAGTGCGCTGGAGACTTTGCTTTCTCACCATCGATCGACAAGGCAAAAAATTCGTGCCGAGTTTGAAAACAATCAATGCTGGGCAAATTGCAATGCCCAGCGAGAGGAAGCTTGAAGCACAGTATATTATACCATAATATGACATAAAAATATCAGATTCTATAATTGCGATAATATGCAGACCAAAATGCACTGAACAGTTCTCGACATAGAATACTGCACACATGCACGCATGCATATCGATGCATATTATCTATTCGATCACCTAGCTTGCTTCCTCCTGCAGGCCCGCACTTCTCAGTCACCCGCACACCAATGGAACCCATCCGGCTGCTTGGAGTGCGAGCGACCACCTTGAAGCCCGGTGATCAACGAGAGGTCAAGATCAAAGGCAACAAACACAAACGAAGTGGACGGTAAGCTGTCTTTTGAACATTTGGTCGTATGCAACATTGGGTCAATTTCCAGCTTCGATGTTGTGAATGCACCAAGTATCACACGCACGTTCTGGTCCTTGGTGCTTCATCCATGAGATCGAAACTCCATCAGCTTTGTTCACCTGCGTGCAACAATTTGTTTCGAGTGTTCAAATATGGTTGACGCTTCATCTGAAGGCCTGCAGGCCCAGTTTTTCTACGATCTCCTTCTTGAGCTGCTCGTTCTTGATCTTGTAGATGTAGAAGGTTCCATACCGGTCAGGCCTCGAAACACTTTCCACCCACCTAAAAAATTGATGTGCTCAGAGATGGGTATTACACAAAATTGGGGCCACGACAAGACACCAATGGCAGCCGGCTCGGCGCCAATATTGTTCCCAGGGGCATCTTCTGGAATTCTGCATGTCCAGCTCCTAATTGTTTTTTGCACAAAATCTGAGGATGACATGGTGACAACCGTGCCTTTTGGCATCAAGACCATCCGGGATGTGGAAGTACAACATGTTCTGCTTCTCGGCCTCCAACTTGGCCAGATTCTCCTGATCATATTTGAACATATTGGCGTATACTTAATTTGCATGCTTTGTTGGCTAGGACACGCATATGCACATTATTAGTTTAGCGCTTGATTGTAGCTCCTGGAAGACCCGGTTCTTTCGAGAGCTTTTGCTGATCTTGGGGGACATACGAACCCTCCCTGCTGCCTTTGGTGATACGGCTGGCTCTGCTCGTGCTGGCGACCTAACAAGGGGAGGCATGGCCGGTGGTGTCTTGGGGGCTTCAGGCTGTGGAGGGTCTGTCAAAGACTTTGCTTTTGCTTTTGGTGCGGCCTTCGATCTTCTCGCACGCTTGGGGGCTGGCTTGGCCGCTGCTTTTGCTGCAGCGTCGGGACGTTCAGGATCAACGGGCGGTT